GAATGGCTCTCCTCTTGACTCTCCAAAGTCTGTCCACCAACCACAAGTGTGTGATGGAATACTCGCTATTTGCCCGGGATGGGTGCAGTTTCAACAACACTCAAGAAGCTTGACACCATCCAGGACAAATATTTGGCACCCTACTCATCAAACTTAACATTCACTTTGTCCACATTCACTGATGTACAGTGGTTATACAAGATGGACTGCAGAAAGTCACTAAAGGTCCTTCAGCAGAACTTTTCAAACACAAAATCTAGAAGGGCAAGGGTGACAGAGGAATGGTAATATCACATGTAGGTTCCACTCCCATCCTGACTTGTAACTACATCACCACTTCTTCTCTACAGTTAGGTCAAATTCCTGGAACTCCCGTACGTGAAACAACACAGATGTCCCATACCACACAGACTGCAGCAATTCAAGACGACAAGCCACCACACACTTCTCAAGGGCAGTTAGGGATGGGACACACATGCTGACCTAGCCAGCAATATCCAAATATCATGAAAAAATAAAAATGACCTGTAAGGTAGTTAGATTTCAGAATGGGAAGCTCTACAGGCTTTTCTAGATTAATGAACTCAGATAGTGAGAATTGCCTTCCTCATCCATTTTTGTCCAATTACTACATTTGACTATGATATACTGAAAAAAAATGACTTTCCCACATAGGACCTTTCATGATCTCAGGATACCACAAAGAACTCTCGAGCTAATTAAGTACTTTTGAAGTTCAGTTATTGTAATGCAGTGAAAACATTTCCCTCACAGTCCCTACCAGGACCATTTACATTCATATATAATTCCTCTGGATTGAAACTGCCTAGCAATGTTTAAACAGTTTACAGGAAGATATCATATAGGCACCTTTCCAAATTCATTTCAAGTTAATGTTATCATGGCATTGGGAGTTACAGCCTGCCTCTATTCGATAATTAAACTGATAGATGCACCATAATTGAGTTTCAACTTAGATCTGGAGGTTTGATGTCAAGGTTTGATCTAGCAAAAACTAATCCATGGCTCAGAGGCAATACTGATACTTTACATGTTGAAATAAGAAGCATTTCCATCTCTGTTGCTTCAGTGCCACAGTTAATTGCCTCAGAAAGAGAGAGGTAAATTCTTCAAACAACGCTGTCAGATCTCAAATCTACGTGTTTTTTACAAAGCTATCTGGAGATTAGATTATAATTGTCAAAATTTTGTTGACAAATCCAGAATTAGCATCCGATAAAGGCGACCTTGGCCATAAGTCCTTTAGATAAAACTAAATTAGATTTACAGATGGGAAGTGCAGTGTTGGAAATGGATAGATAAATAATTGTTGCCGTTCCACTTCCAACTACGGTCATTATTCTGAATCTCGGCACAGGAGCAGTATCAGTTTATGTTGTATTCTGATCACTGTCAGCTGTAGAAAGTCCAAGTGATGTAAGGGGAAAGAAAATCATAAGGTGAGACTCAAAACCCTGATAGCTACATAGGTCAGAAATGGTGCTGACTTGGAGATATTCCTGGCTTTACAGTAGCATTTCTGCACCTGCGTCAGAAAGCTATGAGTTCAAGGACCGCACAAGAGAGTGCCGTTAATTGGAGCTGAGTATTGCAGTGCTGAATTCTGGGCTTATGAAGGGAGAGTACCACTTTCACAATGCCCCCCTTTGCATTGGCCTCAAGCTCACACTCCACACCAACTGAGCAAAAGATAAGTGCTTCCCAACACCTCCCCAACCACCACCATTTATATCCCAACTTCCCACCCCAAAACCCAAGGGAGGCTGATAACCTACTCACATGAAAAGAGGATTTGCCACGAGAAGCAGTGCAGAGCCGTGATCTGCTGGATGTAAAATCAGTGGAGATAATAGGAGGCATCACATGCCACTGGATATGGAAGGGAACAAGAAACACCAGACCCTCATCAGCTATCATTGTGGCTAGCATTGAGGGAAGACTCGTGCCAGCAATTAATTCCGTGAGCTTGTCACAGTGACACTACTTGGTGTCCCCAGGGATAACACGGTGTGGAGCTGGAGGAACACAGCAGGCCAGGCAGCATCACAGGAGTAGGAAAGTTGACGTTTTGGCTTGGGACCCTCTGAAGCTGCCTGGCCTGCTGTGTTCCTCCAGCTCCACACTGTGTTATCTCTGACTCTAGCATCTGCAGTTCTTAACTATCTCTGAGTTTGTGCCCCCAGGGTTTTCTTAGATCCAACAATGCAGATGTAACAATTTTGAGCCCTTATATAGTAGCTTTCAGTAAGGGCCACATCCAGAACCAGTTCAGACCAGTTCAAGATTGGCTCGAACTGGTTTTTTATGAGCTGTTGTCCTTACACTCTGCTGGAAGTGAACAATAAACTGGTAATGAATTGTCAGCAAGCCCATCAGGTTTCCCAGATGATGAGTTGGCACCTGCCCTTCTCAACAGAACCAGCTCAGAAATGTATAACTGGAGCATGAGGATAAATTTGGCATTCATGTAAACTAATATGTTTACTATATTCTGCATCACAAAAGCACCTCAATCATGGACCTTGCTTTTTTTATATTCCCTTATTATCCATGAGTTAATGGGAGGTGTCTTTTCCTTTGGGTGAGGGATTTCAAGACTAGGGAGCATGCTTTTCAGGTGAGAGGAAAAAGATTAAAAAAAAAGACGAGTGGCAATTTTTTTACATAGAGAGTGGTTCGTGTGTGGAACGAACTTCCAGAGGAAGTGGTGGCTGGGGTGTGATTACAATGTTTAAAAGACATTTGGATAAGTGAATGGGAAGATTTGGGAGGGAAATGGGCCAAGCACAGGCAGGTGGAACTAGTAGAGTTTGGGAACCTGGTCGGCATGGACTGGTTGGGCCGAAGGGTCTGTTTCCGTGCTGTATGACTCTATGACTCGCACCTAAATCTGTCTGGGTTGTACAGCCTGGCTGACATAAATGCACCAACTCCCTATTCCCACTTCTACCCCACACTTCCATACCCCAATCTCCCAATTCTCCACTCCCATGCTCCACCACATGTTCATGATTACAGCTATTACTCAAAATCCTCCAGCAAGCACCCCCCCATCTAATTTACCTTCCACCTTCCAGCAACTCCCCAAGATATCACCTCCCTCTGCTCCCCCAGCCCAGAATAGTTGTAAGGGAGGAAGGCCAAGTCCAAACAACATGTCGCTAGCCTCAGGAGAAGCAACAGCTGACATTGAGAGAGTCTCGGGTGGGTAGGGTCTACGCTGCCAGAGTAGATCCACTGGGGTGCAGGGGGGGACAGTGCACATTCTGAAGGGTTTTAAAGGACCATACAGAACTGCTCGGGATTGTGGGGCTCTGGTCCAGCACACCCCAATCACTTATTTTCAAAGGCATCAAATCTGCCCAAAGGAATTCAGAAGCTATAACATCTCTCCGACTGAGTATAAATCTCGAAAAGCATTTTCAAGTAATTTTTGAGGCAATCAGATACAATTCATATTTCAGATATTTTAAACTCAACACCAGCTCAACAATAGTTATGGGTCAAAAACAGAAATGTTTGGAGTTTATACATAGAATCCCTACAGTGTGAAAACAGGCTGTTTGGGCAACAAGTCCACACTAACCCTCAGAGCATCCCACTATTGCCCATCTAATCTACACATGACCAATCCACCTAACCTGCATATCTTTGGGCTTTGAAGGAAACTGGAGCACCTGGGAAACACAAACAAATGTGGGGAAAATGTGCAAATGCCACACAGATAGTCACCCAAGGGTAGAATTGAACATGGGTCCCTGGTGCTGTGAGGCAGCAGTGCTAACCACTGAGCCACCATGCTGCCCCTGTCTGTGCTGGAGTCTGCAACATCTCAGGATGTCCGAGGATAGGAAGTAGAGTTAACCCTTCCAGTCCCTTCTTCAGAATAGTTATGGAACTGTTTAAGAACACAAGTCTGTGGAGCACCTGTACGATTGAGAAGGTACTGATTCTTTCGCCATTTGCTTGGCTTTTACTCAAATCTGTTTTCTGAGCATTTTCTCCAAAATCAATTGTCACCAGTGGAGATAACATGCGCATTTCATTTTATATGTTTGTTCCCTTTCTCAGCCCAGAACAAAATTTAGAAAAGACTAGAATAGAAATTTATTGTCACGCGTACTTTTACATGAAAAATACAGTGAAAAGTTCCATAAGTGGCCCACCACAGTGCCTACATCAATGACCTAAGTCATACATAATAATTTTAAGATAGTAAAATTAAGACAAAATTCATCACAATTCAGCAAACGGCTCCTGGGCTCCGGGAAAGCCAATTTAGGAACAATGGAAAACCCTGAAGACGCAGCCGGGATGAGATTGCCACGCTGGGCTACTGGATACTAGGCCGGAAGCCTCCACCAATGAAGACCGCCAGGACCAGCCATGACTGCCACTCCTGGATGAGACAGTCTGCCAGGCCACTGGTTACATGGACGCCAAGGATGAAGAAGACATCCACACAAGGATGAGACTGCTCCCCCCCCAACCCGAGACAAGACTGCCACACAGAGATACCGCAACGCCGGGCCGAGACCATCTTATTTCTCCTTCAGGTGGCCAGGCCTAGCGCCGGACATGGTGCCTAGCCTGCAAGTCTGGGCCTGGGGAGTCAGCCTGCGACCTGTTCCTTGCTCACCTGGAGACCTTTGGCAGGGGGTGGAGCTGTGTCTGGCTCATCCCAGTGCCAGCGCTGCTGCCAGAGGCCGAAAAGAAAAAGAAAACAAAGAAGGAAGGAAAAAAAAGAAACGAACAAAAGCAAAAAGATGAAAAAAAATGGCACATTTTTACTTTTATTCTGAGTGTTTGTCTGCACATGTAGAGACATCAAATTCAACAGAATGACACATTAATCCAGAGCCCCTTCGTTCACACACATATTCATATCAAAGATGGACTATGTACATTTGGGTTGATTATTGACATCTGCTGATCCTTATTAAGTCTACAATGTGTCAGTGGACCAGAAATAAAATGGAAAAATATACACTTCACTGAGTACTTCTTCTAACAACACCACCAGTAATATTGGCAGTACCAATAGCAATTCAAGATGGCGAAGGGAGTAAGGTAGGAGGGGATGAAGCTCCTGGCCTGTCCAATGTCTTTCTCAAGACCAACCACATCCATTTTTTAAAATTTCATTTTCCTTCATTTATATTTTGAATCAAATTCATTGTTTCTTCTTTCGGTGGCTGCGGTGTTGGAGAGAGGTGGTGGGGAGCTGTTGAGCAGTGAATCTGGTCAATTTGTCGTGGCCGTGGCAGTCGCGACTGTTCCAGCGTTGATGAAGTGGGATCAATTTTTTTTTTCCTCTGACGTTCTGGCAGCATCTGGGACGGCGACAGAGTGAATGATCTCTCGGTCAATCGGTTCTGGGAGGTTGAGGTGGGCCCCGGTCCTTGAGAGTTAGGACAGTGTCCTGGCTATGGCTGCAGCTAGCATGTTGGCAGTGTTGGCAGAGACGGCATTCTGGGTCTGGTCAATAACAGCAGGGGCTGCTTTAGCATGCTTTCTCCTTGGTGTTACAGCTTCAGGGAATGGTTTGGCAGCTGTGGTGTGTGGTGGCATCCTGTAGCCACTTAAGAAATCAAGAAGCCGCATATGGAACAAAAATGTAAGTTGTTCTAACTTTGTATGATTTATTTCTTTTTATAATCTATGTAATTAAAATGGCCCCGGCTTCTGGCAACGTATACACATTTTACTGTATTTTCACAAATATACGCAACAACAAATTACTGTTACCCTTAACACTGTAGTGCCAAGATTGCCAGCTTTCCCAGCTGGGTCCCAATTCAGGAACTGATATTCAGTTACCAGCTCAGAACTGGAGCAACTGGTGGTCAGTATTACCGGAACTTCCTTTTGGGGGGTTTGTCCTTTGCAGCTTTCCCACACGGTTTAATCCAGCTCAGAACATGGTCCTCAACCTTGCCCACACTGATCTTAACTGGAAGGAGTTGGGAAGATGATGGGCTTTCCACCCCAAGCCTTCCTATCCCATCATACAAACACTCCCCATCCCACTTCCAAGCTTATATCCATGGAGTGCATTACATTCTCCCTATAACGTGGCTGATAGGGGGAGACATGGGACTGTCGTTGCTGCTATTAAACCCCAGCATAAATGAAGACATTCAGGGCAAAGAGCAGAGAAAAATAATAATTTTAACATTTTGTAAGGGAGAATAATGGTGAAGGATAAAAAGGGAAGGATTGACTTGTAAAGTTCATATAACAAAAGATATGGTTGTTCTTTGAGTAGGGAAAACATAGTCACAGCACAGCAGGCCAAAGATTAGCTATAGGCAAAAACTCCTGACCAAATTTTTGAAATATATGAAAGTGCTCTGCAAACTACATCAGCAAGATTTGGCATCTCACGCTATTCTGGATTCATGATTGAAATGGAATAATCTTATTCTAAAAGCATTCAGGTTGGGGTGCTAATTGTGCATTAGTTTTAAGTCACAGTTAGATAGTCACATTATCCCATCCAGAATTTACAGAAACACAGCCGACCCACTTCAGAATGCATTGGACTCCTCAGAAACGAGCATTGTGCACAGTAAATGATCTAACTCTTGTTTAATTGTGCGTTTATTAATTGCATGATTTAAAATATTTCTCATTAAATACATTGTGCCAGATTACCATCACGTCAAAAGCAACCAATTAAAATATATATAAACATCAGATGTAAAGTCTTGCAAGAAAGGACAACAGGAAAAATTTTGCACTATTTCCAATGATTGTTTCAATTACCTGCTTGAAGTGCAGAGTAGGAAATAAGCCCGATCACTAGGAAGCAAAAAAGTTGCTCTTTTCCTTTGACCATGGTGAGGTGTTGATTCACTAGTCCCTCGCTGAACTGTGGTTTCACAACAACAGCACCCAGACTCTGTTAATATCTTCAGGAAGGTTTGTGAAGCTCACGAGAGAGAGAGAGAAAAAAAAAATCACACTCTTATTTGCTCAAGAGAGGAAATTGATCCATCTGCTGCTGGGAATGCCTGGGGTTTAAAAATAAACAAGTAAGTGAACAATGAAACTGAAGAATCATTTATTGAACCTAATTTTGTTTCAAAGGTCAGTGACTGCTGATGCTATACAAATTGTATCACTGCCCCTGGGTGGACTGACCTTATTACAGCACAATGTGGCTGCATGTTCCCAGCTGTGGACAGCAAATGTTTGGATGAATGTTCAAAAGGTTTGATCACAACTATAGAACCTGATTTTAATGCAGTTGTCAAAATTAATTTGTGCACTGACCAGCAGCGAATCTTTTAACTGTTCAAATCTCCTAATAATTAACTTAAATTCCAATTTTAAATACAGGCGAAGATCATAAGCAGTAAAGGATATAACTGTGGTTGAAAGAGAAAAATTGCTTGCATGTATGTAGAGCCATTCATGATCCCAGGGTGTCCCACTTTACTGCCAATAAAGTGCACTTAATATACATTCACGATGGTAATGTAAGAAACACCCACAAACCATAATCCTCATGGTCTCGTAGTGCAACTAAAGAATAATTACAGAGGTAAGAAAAGCCTTTACTCAAGAACCATTTTACTACAGTTTCATCTTGCCATGTGGCTATGAGATCCCGTGACATTGTATCATGTCCTGGGATGATGCATGCTGTTTAATCAGCGCATATTGTAATCAGGTATAATCCCTTTATAAAGCATTATTAAGATAGAGATGGTTCAGAAAACATTTATCAGGATGTTCCCAGGAATGGAGGGCTTGAGGAGGCTAGATAGGCTGGGATTTTTTTCACCAGAACGTAGGAGGCTGAGGGGTGACCTTATAGAGGTTTATAAAATCGTGACGGGTATAAAAAAGACGAATGGCAGGTGTCTTTTCTCTAGGGTGGAGGATTTCAAGACTAGGGGGTATATTTTTAAGGTGAGATGAGAAGGAGTTTAAAAAGACATGAGGGACAACTTTTTTACGCAAACAGTGGTTTATATGTGGAATGAACTGCCAGAGGAAGTAGTGAGTGCAGGTACGGTGGCAACATTTAAAAGACATTTGGGGAAGTACATGAAAAAGAAGTATTTGGAGCAATATTGGTCAGCAGCAGGCAGGTGGGAGCAGTTTAGTTTGGGATTACGGTCGGCATGGACTGGTTGGACCGAAGGGTCTGTTTCTGTGCTGCGTGACTCTATGACCCGATAAACATAGACTTAGGAGACCATAGATTAGAGAGAGAAATGACTGGTGGCAGTTTAATCTGAGGTTTACCATGGAGAGATTTAGAAGAAGATTCCTTCATAATAACCTCAGCTGAAGCAGGAATCTAACTCACACTGTTAGGCAACACTCTGCTTCATAAAGCAGCCATCCAGTTATCTGAGAAAATCAAGCTCCTTACTTAAAATTTATTCATGGGCTGAGGGCATCGCTGGCTAGGCCAGCATTTATTGTGCATCCCTAATTGCCCAGTGGACAGTTCAGAGTCCATTGTATTGCTGTGGGTCTGGAGTCGGCCACATCAGGTAAGGACACAGATTTCTGCTCCTGAAGGACATCTGTGAGCCATTTGGGTTTTTGCAACAATCGACAGTGAATTCATGGTCATCATTAGACTCCTAATTCCAGCTCTAACTCCATTAACAAATTTGCCGACGACACTACCGTAGTGGGTGGGATCTCAAAAAACTACGAGACAGAGTACAGGAAAGAGATAGAGAGCTCAGTGGCATGGTGTAAAGAAATAAAATCTCTCCCTCAATGTCAGCAAAATGAAGGAGCTGATCATTGACGTCAGGAAGTGGAGTGGAAGACGTGCTTTTTTCTGTATTAGTAGCGCTGAAGTGGAAGTGGTCAAGAGTTTCAGGTTCCTAGGAGTATATATCACCAACAATCTGTCCTGGCCTATCCATTTCAGCGCTACAGTAAAGAAAGCACACCAATGCCTATATTTCCTCAGAACGCTAAGGAAATTCGGCGTGCCCACAATGACTCTTACCAATTTTTATAGATGCACCATAGAAAGCATTCTGTCTGAATGCAACACAGATTGTCATGGCAACTGCTCTGCCCAAGACCGCAAGAAATTACAGAGCACTCTGAATGAAGCCCAGTCCTATACAAAAACCAGTCTTCCATCCATTGACTCCATCTAAACTTCCCACTACCTCGGGAAAGCAGCCAACATAATCAAAGACCCTTCCCACCCCAGTTATACTCTCTTCCGCCCTCTTTTATCAGGCAGAAGATACAAAAGTTTGAAAACACAAACAAACAAGTTCAAGAACAGCTTCTTCCCCGCTGTTATCAGAGTTATGACTGGACCTCTTATATATTAGAGTTGATCTTCCGCTGCACCTTCTCTGTAATTGTAACATTATATCCTGCATTTTGTTCTATTACCCGACATAGTTACGTAAGGTATGATTTGTCTGGATAGCATGTAAAACAATAGTTTTCACTGTATCTTGGTACAAGTTACAACAAGGAGCAAAGTAAATGAAAAATCAGAGTGGTATTGAATTCAATTCCACCATCTGCCATTGCAGGATTTGAACTTGACTGCCCAGAACGTTATGTGGGTCTCTGGATTAACAGTCCAGTGATAATACACTAGGCCATTTCTAGCCAGACAAGCAACATTCTCTTTATATGCTGTAAATTATATTGAGGTAAATGACCAGATCCTCTGTTTTAACGATGTTGGTTTGAGAGATCATTTCTAAACGATGTATATGAAGGAGTCAAGAAGGAGAAGTTGAACAATGCTAAACATAAGTTTTAAACAATTGTAAACCATGATTTTCAGACTGGAAGGCGGGATCAGAAGGGAACCCCAAGAAGCCCACAAAGTCAACCGAAACCTGATCATCTGAGACTCCCGAACACTGCCCTCAACACAGATAATGTTTTACATGAGTCCTGTACTCCATATTTATTCTGTAATTTGCCATTAGCTACTAAATTATTTTCTGTTGCTGTGTATCATAAAATGATCAATGATTGCCCTGTTGACCTTGGGATAGCTGACAGTACTGCCCCAGACATTCCGATGGGCAGAGAATAGTTGTAGACAGGAGAAATGCAGAAGACCGTGCTGAGACAACTGACTCCGTGGAAACTTCCCAGGAAAATTAAGCTTCCAATGTGGAATCCTACAGGATCTGGAAACCTCTGAAACAGCCCCTTCAACTTGTCGAATTCAGGGGTTTTCTACTCATTTAATATTCATAGTTACCCAGGGAAAGTAAAAGGATTAAAAACCAACTCCAGCTCCTTGCTAAATGTTAAACTGTACCCATGACTCATCACAAGTACTCTCCCTGTCCAATCTATACCCTTGAATACCACTGACGTTTCCACACCCATCATCCCCCCCCGAACAGCAAGCCCCTCGCCTGCCAGATGAGGTAACCATACTCCACTGGGTCCAATAACACCTCTCCTGACATGCCCCTGCACTCATCCACAATTTTACACACAGCTCCCTGGCAGACACCACTTGCCCCTTTTCGCCTTCCCCCTCCCTCTGACCCAACACAGACCCAATCTACACTCCCGATCGCCACGACTTGCCCAACACAACACGCTCTTCCTCCCAGGCCCAACACTATATACTAATCCAAACTGCCCACTTAACCCTGATCTGACCCAACACCGCTCAGGTGACCTGACCTAACAACCTCCCTATACAGTTGGCATCACGTGCCCCCCCCATCGCCCCCACCAAACTGAGTCCAATGGACAACCTTCTTGAACTGGCCCAAATCAACACCCTCAGCCTGTGACCCAACTCAGACCAAGACACTCCCTTGTCTGATCTGATACCCCCTGTGATGACTCTGATTTGGCAACTCCCCCTTGAAATGACAACATCATCACCCACTCCTCACATCACCCCAATTTTCAATCCTATCAGGGTCAGAAATAGGGTCCTGATGGGAATCCTGGGGTTTGTATCGTTTTGAGGTTACAACAGAAGGTCACTGGAGTTGTATCAATAGTTGCAAATGATTTCCAGGATTGTGACAAGGTTTGGGGCCACCAATCAGATGTTTGAAAGCCATTTTTGTTTATCTTAAGAAACAAATTAGGAGAAATTCCACAAAGTCTTGCGGAAAATTAGATTAGATAAACAGTGCACTATGATTAAAAGACTCAATAAACTCTGTCTAATAATTAGAATAATTTAGTGTCGAGTGAAGCCTCTGATCACCTTGAAGTTAGGCAATAAAATGTCAATTGTCGTTGCAACAACAACTTGTATTTACGTAGCATTTCAAACATAATGGAAAATTCCTGGCCACTTTTGACAGTTTCATGCAGCAAAGTATGAGACTGAGCCAAAAAAAGAGATATGAAGTCAAATGGCCAAAAGCTGGTCCACAACTAACAAATCATATCCAAGCCCTGCAGTTCTGCCACATTCAGTCATGGATTTGTCAGAAGGAGGTCAGGTCTAACAAATCTGGTGGAATTTTTCGAGTTGACCAAGTGTGTAGATGAGTGTAAGGCAGTTGATGTAGTTTATATGGATTGCAGCAAGGCCTTTGACAAGGTGTCACATGGAAAACTGACAGAGAAGATAAAAGCTCAAGGGATCTAGGGTAATTTGGCAAATTTTCTTCATGACAGGAGACAGAGGTGGTGGGAAACAATGTGACTGGAAAACAGTGTGCTGTGTCATAGCGCAGGGAGCAGTGCTGAGTTCCTTATTGTTTGTGAAAATTCAGAAATGATGGAGTTGGGAATGTGGAGGGAGTGAATGCTAAGTGAGGTTGTAGATGACACAAAGTTTGGCCGGGGGTGACAGCGAGAAGGAAGGCGTTAAGTTGAAGGAGGTTATAAACGGATAGGTCAGATAGATAGGTCAGTGGCAGATGGAGTTTAACCCTGATAAGTGTGAGGTGATGCACTTTGGAAGAAGGAACAAGATAAGGAAGCATTCAATGAGGGGCAGCACACAGAACAGAGGATCTTGGGATACTTGTCCATAAATCACTGAGGGTAGCAGGATAGGTTATGGTTTACAGGATACTTGCCTTTATTAGTCAGGAAGGAGGTCATGTTGGAGCTGTATATAACTTTGGTTATCCACAACAGGAGCACTGGGTTTGGTTAGCTCATTTGGCTGGATGGCTGGGTTGTCATATCAAAAGTAGGGGTTCAATTCCTGCACTGGCTGAGGTTACCACGAAGGGTTCTCCCTCTCAACTTGCCCCCTTGCCTGAGATGTGTTGACCCAGTGCGTGTTTCACTCTCTAATGATAGAGAAGCCCTATGGTCTGGTAAGACGATGGTGACTTTACCTTCTATTGTGTGCAGTTCTGGTCACCACACGATAGGAATGATATGATTGCAGTGAAGGGAGTGCAAAGGAGATTCACCAGGATGTTGCCTGAGATGGAGCATTTCAGCCATACAGAGAGGCTGGATGAGTTCAATCAGACCTGATAGAGATCAATAAGATTATGACTGTCATAACATTCAAGGCTATGGGCCAAGTGTGGGAAAGTGAGACTAGTGCAGTTTGTAATGTATTTTTGACAGTACAGTCTCAATGGGCTGAAGGGCCTCTTCTGTACTGCCTGATTCTCTGACAATTAAACAACTCACTGCAAGAGGAAGCTCTGCAAATATTCCCATCTTCAATCTGCAAAAGTAAGGCTGAAGCTTTCACAACAACCTTCAACCAGAAGTGCCAAGTGGATGTTCACCGATGATTACATAAGGTTCAGCACAACTCCTTCATGAGTCTATATCTAAATACAATGAGACCCGAACAATATCCAGGTTTGGGCTAAAAAGTGGCAATATTCATGCCACACAAATGCCAAGCAATGACTATCTCCAATAACTGAGAGTCTAACAGTCATCCAATGACATTGAATGGTATTGTCATCCCTCAATTCCCCAGCATCAACGTCTGGGGTTACTAATGGTCAGAAACTGAACTGAACTGGACTGGCCAAATAATTAAAGTGGCTACAAGAGCAGGTAGGAGGCTAGGAATACCGCAGCAAGTAACTCACCTCCTCACTCCCCGAATTCTGTCCACCATCTACAAGGCACAAGTCAGGAGTGTGATGGAATACTCCCCACTTGCCTGGATGCAGCCCCAACAACACTCAAGAAGCTTGACACCATCCAGGACAATGCAGCCCGCTTGATTGGCACTACATCCACAAGCATCCACTCCCTCCACCACTGACGCTCAGTAGCAGCAGTGTGTACTATCTACAAGATGCACTGCAGAAATTCACCAAAGATCCTCAGACAGCACCTTCCAAACCCACGACCACTTCCACCTAGAAGGACAAGGGCAGCTGATACATGGGAACACCATCCCATTCAACTTTCTCTAAAAGTCACTCACCATCCTGACTGGGAAATATATCACCTCTCATTCAATGTGCCTGGGTCAAAATCCTGGAACTCACTCCTTAACAGCATTTTGGGTCTGCCAACACAAAATGATCCGAAACTGTTCAAGGAGACAGCTCACCACTATTTTCTTGAGGGCACCTAGTGATGGACAATAAATGCTGGGCCAGTCAGTGATGCCCTCATCGCAAGAATGAATGCAGCTGTCCCAGATTTACGAACGTTTGACTCCTACATATGGTTGTGATCCCATACAGGGGTATAATTTTAAGGATCTGACGTACAAACATTTCCTTTACCTTATGAATGGCAATTTTATACTGCCCTACATTGTGTTCTGACTTGCATACAAACTGACTTGCAAATGAGTTAAAAAATGGAACTCATTCACAACCCAGGGAATGCCTGCAATAAAAAAATTGCACATTTCTGCTGTGGATCGCTGAGGTATCCATCAGTACCCACATACCACATCTGCTATTCATCACTTGCCTTGCCACTGTTATTGTGCTTTGTTTAACTAATTATTTAAACAGATCACTGAACGATTATCTGTGGATATATCAAATTGTTTTAACTAGTTAAGCTGTAAACATAATACAGTATTTGTATCTCCCCAGAATGAACTTAAACCACTGTCCCCATTTAGAGAGAGAGAGCAAAAACACTGATTTCCTTCATTCACCAGATTCACAAGCTCATATTTTGTTTTGAGCTGCACTCAGTGACAAGTTGCTAAATCAAAAAAACACAGTGTGGAGCTGCAGGAACATAGCAGGCCAGGCAGCATCAGAGGAGCAGGAAAGTTGGTGTTTCGAGTCGGGACCCTTCTTCAGAAATGGGGTCCCGAACCGAAACGTCAACTTTCCTGCTCCTCTGATGCTGCCTGACCTGCTTTGTTCCTCCAGCTCCGTACTGTGATATCTCTGACTGCAGCATCTGCAGTTCTTACTATCTCTCTTGCTAACTCAATAGTTGCCTACTTTGTGCATTTCAAAGTTCCACCTGTTTTTATATTTTCTGAAATTCTGCAGAGGTGAATCAACAATGCTGGCCGGAGAGAATCCAATTTAGCCACCTAATGAAATCTTGATGAGTCAAACTTGGATAACTCCAGGAGCGGTGAATTTGTCAGACATTCTCCCCAGAATAGGAAATCCATTAGGATGCTCATGATAAGCTGAAATTCCAAGCTGTTCACTCCACACTGGTCAAACTCATACACGTTTGTCATATGACCATCCCAACCATTTGGAAGGAAGTTGGGCCATTGTGGCACAAAATTTTTTTAAATTTTGAGAAATTCTGCTATCGAGTTTGTCACTGATTCTCCCCATCTAGGAAGATGATGAGGGAGGTTGATTATCCAGACATTGAAGCTCAGCTAATGTGGTGGAAGGCCACCCAAGCAGAGAATATACTCATGCCTGGCCCAATCCTGGAAAGGGAAACTGTCTGGCAAAGAGCTGGGCTACAGGACTTCACCTGGAGTGATGGATGGCTGGCAGATTCGAGAAGAGGTACAGAATTGTATTCTAAGTGGTAACTGGAGATGGTGCAGCTCCAATAATGGATAGTTGGTTGCAAAACATCATTACCAATGTCCTCAATTAGCATCAAGAGATACGGTACTGTTTCAACATCTTTTTTCACCAAATTGTTCGTTAATGTTTAAAGGTGTGATGGTGAAACATGAAGTAAGAACTATATCACTGTTACAGTCCACACCAAAAAGCTGCTGCGTCTTGTGATAGCAAAGTTCAAAAAGCCATTTACTTCACAAAGGTCAAGACCTGGCTAACAAAACCGCCGAATGATCCTCAGAATTTCTGAGGGATGCATCAGGAACGTGGACAAAATGCATCAGCAGAACAAAGGGAAGATTATCCTCATTACGCCAACCGCTCCGCACACCCTGACATGTCTGGCTTCAAGAGCATCAAGCTGATGTTCTTTCCTCTCAACAGTGTGACCAAGCCCCAGTCACCAGTTCAGGGTTCAGGGAATGATTCAGAACCTAAACATCAACTACCGATGTCAGCTGATCTCTCAGGTTACTTGAAGCCATTGATAAGAAGCAGGAGTGCATGCAGCTATTCTAGAGGCAATGTTTGCAATGAGGGAGAGGTGGACAATGACTATGGAAACTTTTGTGAAGGTGTGGGTGGCTTCAAATGGACCAAAACTGTGTGAGACCCTGAGAACAAGGAGGAGCAGGGTGGGGCCAGCTGACAGGGATCTTTTCACTTGCCACTGGGAGACCAGTATAGAAATTACAGCAAAAATAGGCACAGAAACCTACACTGAGGTACACGACACTGTATGCTGAACTATAAAGCTGACAGGTGAGAAAGTCGTGGATGTTATACATTCTTCAGCCGCAGAGGTTGATGATCCTGAAGACTCTGATGAATACCCACCCAGTTACTCACCTGTGTCCATCGTTGTAGCAACAAAGATCATTTGGGTTTTTGTACAGTGGCAGAAAAACATGGAACAAGTGGTTTGATTTAATTTACTGTACCACACCAGTCCAAAGGCCAACCTAAGCAGGAAAAGATTGCTGAGTTTTTTCACAGCTAACTCCTAACATTTTTCAATGTCTTTTCCTGAATAATGTCAGGGGCTGCTCTCTCATTGGAGGGCCGGTTAGCTTGGATGGCTAGTTTGAAATCCAGAATGAAGCCAACAGCATGGGTTCAATTCTTATTACTGGCTGAGGTTACCATGAAGGACTCACCTTCTCAACCTCTCCCCTCGTCTGGTGACCTTTAGGTTAACCCACCACCAGTTACTTGTACATT